AAATGACTGCAGAGCAGCGGGCTAGGAGAAACGAAATCAACAGACAAAGCAGGAAAAAAAAGAAGGTATCAAACTATATATCACCTTTAACTTTCTATTGATTTTTTCATTGTCATTTAATATTTGCATGCTATTTAGTAAATACTAGATAAGATAGTTCAGGTGTTCTTTTTATTTCTGGATAGTTATTTATTTATTTTTTGGTACATCATCACTATACAAGAGGGGATAGTTCTCCCTGTTCTTATATTTCTCCTCACTCGAGAATATGAAATCTTCAAGTTAAGAGTCTCAAGTTCTTAACTAATTTTGAGCCACCATTGTAGGCATTTTTGGATAGTTATTTACCTTGTATTTTATCCTTCATCTTTTCAGAATGAGGTGATAGAAATGAAAGATAAATTGAAGAAACATGAAGATGAGATGAAGAATTTAAGGATAGAGAATGCAGAATTGGAACATGCCAAGGTTTCAATGGGGGAAGAGTTGCAGGCTCTAACAGCTGTGAAAGATAAGCTGGAAAGCGATCTTGAAGAATTTAAGCAAGAAAGGGATAAGCTAAATGCTTTTCTCCAAGAGCTATTAGTAAGTCACTTTGTTCCAAAACTCACTTTGGTATTACCATTTGTCTTTCCCTGTTTGTGTAATATATATAGAATTTTTTTTTTTTTCCAAATTATGCATATATTTGACTTTCATGTGTCTAATCTATCTTTTTGTGTCTAACAATTGCAGAAAGATAAGGATTTTAAGTTCATAAAAGGGGGGGACAAACATGATATGAAGCCAACACAAGATCATTCTCCTTCAGATGAAGAAAGCCACTCAGAAAAAGAAATTTCGGCTGGCAACTTCGATGGTGGTGACTCTGAAGATGACAATGATTATAAAATGAAAAAGAAGCGTGCGGCACGTTCAGCTTCAAGTGAAGGTCGTTCTGGCAAGGTTCCTAAGTTTGCATGTTATGATGCCAGAGCTGATCAGAGACATGGATCTACAAGTAATCATACTGCCATGGTCAAGGATCCCTACTCCATTGCTGACTGCATTCGTATTTTAAATACCATGGGAGACATACCGTATACTATCGTAAAGAAAGCAACAGATAAATTTAAGTCACCCGATGATAGGGAAACTTTTGTTGAACTACGTGAAGATTGGAGAATGGACTGGGTGAAAGATTTGGAGAATGATGCTTAAAGAAATTTTTCTAGTTATATTTAAAATTTAAGGAACAGTTTCTTTTTTTTTTTTGGATATTGGGAACTTTGTTTTGTTTGAATTAAACTTTATTGTGATTGAACTATTTATGTTTTCTTCTGTTCATTAATTTTTAGACAATGATATTATTAATTATAGTATATATAATTTTTTTGGATACAGTAACTGATTTCTATTTGTTCGCTGGTTTGGTATTAGTAATATCTTTAATTTCAGAATATATATGAAAGAATAATAAAATTAGTTAAAACAAAAAAAAAAAGAATAATAAAAATGAGGTTAATGCATTTTTTCCCTTCTTTTTTTTATTTTTTCTAGTAGATCTAAAGATAAGTTATGCATTAGAAAATAGTTGTTTTCTCAAACCCCGCCTCTTTGTACATGTGGTGTCTAATGATAAGTCCTTTCTCAAGCCTCTTCATATGGTCTTGAGGTTTTAATTTGAGAATTTTCAACATAGAAACTTAGATTTGTAAACACTAACAATTTATTATTCTGAATGAAAAGAGTTTGATTTTCTTTAAGTAAAATCTTGAATACGAGACTCTTAAATAAAAAAACAAGTACTAGGAGAATTTCTCAAGTTCTGTCGTAATTTCATATTAACAAGGACTCAATGTGACTAATACCAAAAAAAACTTAAAGACTTGTAAACACTAAACTGTCAACTGAAGATCGTTTTCATACTCCGCGAAGAGTTTTCTTTGGACATTTACTAAAGCTCAAACTCACTGAATGGAAGGAAGGAAAACCTTTTTCTAGAGATGACAAATGGAAAATGTTTTCCTGAATATATTTTTTTGGCCATGATTTTTGAACTAAACACGCACGAATAAGTGGGTTTTTGTTCAGAGCACACAGATAGGCGGTGTTCAACAAGATTTCAAACAACATCAATTTTAAACATCCCTTCCTCTTTACTTCTCTTTCACTTTCCTTATTTCTTAACTGCAACATGATACAGTATTCTTCCTTCTATAGTTCTATCTGTGTTTATATAATAACATC